CACAACCCTTGAGACCTAGTTTCAACGCTTGGAAACAGTTGAGATCCTCACCCCATAACCATACATAAAATTGCTGGGCATGAAAAATGTAATACAGATATGCTACAAGATTAGCCTTGGAGTCTGGCCTATTCCCTTGGATCTCATTTGGAGAATATTTTGCCATGATTGCCTAGATATCCAGGTGAGCAATACAGGCCCTCTGGGCCTCTTGTTTATAAACAAGTTATGTTACACTTTCAGAAATATAAGTTGATAAAGTTGTGTCATTTAAATTGCTCTATTTTAAAACAATCACATGACGTCACATCCTGTTGTCTTTACAAAAGAGATTTGTAAAGATCTACGTTAATTAATTGTTAAGTTGGCTTTCTGTCCTATTGTTTTACAGAAGGATTTTGTAATGGTCTGTGTAACAAAGTTGACCGCCTGTGTCTGAAGAAGTACTCGCTGACCGGTGAATGTTTGGATAGTTGAGTGCAACAGTCACGTGATCATCACTCTGGACTCGAGGAAATAACCTTTTTTTTACTATGCATAATACTCCCAACTGATGTCAGAGCTGTCTAGATCTACATTCAACCATTCACTTTTAACATATTATGTCCAGGGAACTTTGGCAGATTCCCAAGTTTTTAAAGGATGGGACCCAATTCTGGAAAAAAGATGTTGATTTTTTCCAAACCTATAAATCTGACCGGCAGTTTTTGCATGAAGAAATAAACAATTTGAACATGAAATGAGGAGGCTCTACCCCCCTCCGCTGTCAATCCTCCCCTGAGATTTTTTTCCCCCTGTACCTTGCCAGGATCCGGAATGGTGGAGGTAGTGATAAGTTTTTCTTCCATGTTTATTATCAGCTGGTACTCCATAAACCTGTAGGTAAAGAAATATCTGATGAAGGATGGTGTTACTTTTTATAGGGGACATCAGACATTGTCTTGTCATTCTGATTGGTGACATGTCATATTATGTCATTCTGATTGGTGACATATCGATATGATTGGTGACATGTCATTCTGATGGGTGGCATGTTATTCTGATTGGTGACATGCCATCATGTCATTCCACTGTTAACAGGTCATTATGTTATACCATTGTTATATGTCATTAAGTCATTGCGTTGGTGACAGGTTGTTATGTTATACGAGTGTGATATGTCATTAAGTCATTCTGATTGGTGATATGTCATTATGTCATTCTGATTGGTGACATGTCGTTATGATTGGTGACATGTTATTCTGATTGGTGACATGTTATTCTGGTGACATGTTATTCTGATTGGTGACATGTCATCATGTCATTCCACTGTTAACAGGTCATTATGTTATACCATTGTGATATGTCATTAAGTCATTGCGTTGGTGACAGGTTGTTATGTTATACGAATGTGATATGTCATTAAGTCATTCTGATTGGTGATATGTCATTATGTCATTCTGATTGGTGACATGTCATTATGACATTGCATTGGTGATATGTCATTATGTCATTCTGATTGGTGACATGTCATTAAGTCATTTTGATTGGTGACATGTCATTATGTCATTCTGATTGATGACAGGTCATTATGTTATATCATTGGGATATGTCATTATCTCATTCCATTGGTGACAGGTCATTTTTTCAATATTTCATTCCATTGTTGACATTCCATTATGTTATTGCACTGCTAACATTCCATCAGTGACCATCAATATGTTTCCGTTGGTGAAGTACCTTTATGTAGTCGTGCTGCTTTCACTGTGTGCTCTTCTACTTATTTTACAGAAGTGTGTTGTGCTTTATTGAATTTTTAGACTTTGTGAAAAATGTTTGAGTTAGCTATTCTGGTGATGGTTAGTACACAAAACGTAACTATGAAATAGTTGTCATCTGTTTTATTCAGGAAAAGGTTGTATAAACATAAATATTTTATACAATTTTTGTACTCAAAGTTTAAAGTTGTGAAATTGTTGAAATGCTTGATATGTGACATTCGTTATTTTAGAATTAATACATCCTTTATGTAAGACAAAAGTCTTTTTTATATTTCTCTTCATAGCATATCAGAATGTTTTGATATAATATAAACAAAGATACATAGATTTACATATATATATCAGAGTCACGTACATATGTAATAGTTTGTTTGTTACTATTTTAATAGGACCTTCTTGTTATCATTGTTTATTTAGAGGTACATTTATCATATCATATATTTTTTTCTATACATATATACATTTTAAAAGAAAAAATAGGACAAAGCATTTTGCATTAACCTTTCACTGTATAAGCTCTTTAGGTGGATTGTAATGATACAGTATTGTGTGATGCCATAGATTGTCCATTAATTGGTTTCAGACATCACCAAGACTACCTTAGATATTATATTATATATCACAGAGGTATTTCAATGTATACATGTGAACAGTGACATCTTTGACCTGAATACTTGTGTTTTAATGACAAAAATATTTAGAAGTGTGTACAAATAAAAGTTCCTTCACATTACTGCCTTGAAAGTTTTCCTGATTGTGCCAAACGATGTGGGAAACTTTTGTGGGGGTGGTCTCAGTTCCCCCACTCTTATAGAACAATGAAAAGTGTTGATATAGGAAGACAATGTCAAACCAATTATAGTCTGTTTCATACTTACCGGTACCCCACAGGTAACTTACCTAAGTTAAAGTTACATGTCTGACTTGTAGCTTTTCTGTGGATGTGATATGTTAGGTTAACGATATTTACTTTATGGATATATAGTTTTTAAGTTTTAATATTTTTTAGGGGTATGAAATAGATAAAACTAAATAATAAACACTTATTCCCTGAAAAGGGCTACTGCATATTGTTTATCATATACACATGATACAATCATTATATATACATGATGTAAAATACAGATATAACAATAAAGGGCTTAATATAAGTTTAATAACTTGTGCCCAATCCATTTTCATGACAATAAAATATGTTTAAACTAAACTATAACAATAACTAAATAGTAAAAGTTTACAGTCAAATGACATCAATACGTATACATTACATTTAATTTACATTACACTTTTTAAGCCACCAAATACAAGACAAGCAAAAATATATACTTAAAGAGCTATGGCAGAAAACTGCTCAAATTTCCCCAAGTCGGCATTTATGGATACAGGAAACAATATCAATTAATGAGTAAATAATTTCTAGATGCGATAATGCATGGAATAGATATCAAACCAATTGAATATGATTTTTTGAACTGCAGAGATATTAGGTATTGTTAATATAATACTGTAAATATAGCCATATTCATTAAATCTATGAAAGTGATGGGGTTTCCCTGACTAAAAATCCTCTTTTGGCTGTTTGGGAAAGTGCTCAAAATAATTAACATTATTAGCCAAATTGACATTTTTACAACCTACATTTTATCAATCTTTATGGACGAGTCATATTTGTTTCCATATCATGTTCTGGTTTTGATTTTAATTTCAATTCTCAGCTGCTTCTATGAAAGAGTTTTTCTGTTATCTGCCACATATTGCAGTGATGAAACCTATTGTACTAATTAAATGTTTGTCTATTTAGATATTATTTCTGTAAATGGTTAACTGTACCCGAGATAATTCAACAGTTAAGGTAAGCAGTTTTGTACATTATAAGAGCGCGTGTAGTTTTTGTTTGAAATGGACATCTTTTGTTTGTCTTAATATCTGGTGTGTGCCGAAATAATTGCCTTAAGTCATATGTACTTATATATATTACTTTTACCTGTAGTTTGTTTGTGCCATAAATACTTTTAAACTTCAAATTGTAAAATCACCTTTCTCTCTCACCTCTAAATGTGCAAGATTACTAGAATCTTTCACTCCTTTGGGGGAGAGATGGGGGAATCATGACCCAAGGTAGAAGTTTGTAAGTTGTCAAACACGAGGCTTGCCAATTAGTGTTTGACAACTTAATAATCTTTCCCCGTGGTTTGAGATTTCCAATCTCACCTCAAGGGGGTGAGTGATTCTTTTTCTCTTACCCTGTTTTTCCTGTCATATAAATGGTGCTATGTTGAGGTTACAGGGTCCATGCATTGTTGAGCTGACGTTAATGCATCATATTGACGTGAGGTCATTGTATTGTTGAGCGGACGTTAATGCATCATATTGACGTGACGTCATTGTATTGTTGAGCTGACATTAATGCATCATATTGACGTGAGGTCATTGTATTGTTGACATGACATCATACAATGACTAGGGGAATTCCCCCGTCTCCACCCTAGGATGAGACCTATAGAATCTTCGCCTATAACCTTGAGGGTGTGACAGAGAAATCTCCAACACAAGGGATGATATTCTTGATTGTCTTACCCGAGGCTTTGACGAGGGTCAAGACATTCGAGAATAGCATCCCAAGGGTTGGAGATTTCTGTCACACCCTCTGGGTAGGGGGTGATTGTATTTCTTCCATCTTAACTACAAGCTGTGATTGCATGAAAAATTAGAGTTGATTGCATGTTTTTCCAGAAAATCCAGAGTTGTCTTCCATGGTCTGCTACTTACTGTTGAGGTGATGTCAATGCATTGATATGACATGACATTATTTTTCGGGAGTAATTTTCGCTAGTCTCACGCTCAAATTGTTAGATATGGCATGTATGCTACTACTTGATGAAGACAGAGAAATCTCAACTCAAGTGTAAACTTGATTAGTTTAAGCTTGAGGCTTTGCTGAGTTAAACTGAATGCACTACACCGGATGGATTAATGAGGTGTTTGAGATAGATAAAGTATAAAAGGGGAATGCAAATCATCTAAGAGTGCTTTTGTTACTGGTGTCCTTTACATTTCCTGTTTACTGAGGAGTTTTGGTGTGTGGATTAATAATAATACATTGTTATTCCAAAATATGTCATATTTAAACAGAAAAAGAGTTCCTACATATCAGAACATGTTATTTATATATCAAGATATATATATAAAAAACAAATGACAAGAGTTTCTTAGTACCTCCCTAGCGCTTTCACCTCTTTAGAGGTTCATCAGGGGGACTCACGTGTTCAATATATATATATATTTATAAATTAGGTTACTATACATTTGAATTGGAAGTAAGACAAGGTTATGATATGTACTGTTTGAGGCATGTAGTATTGGTAATGTGTTTGTAAATGACAGTTGATACCCCTAAAGTGTTTATAATATTAACACATCCCAATTAACAGTTGATACCCCTAAAGTGTTTGTAATATTTACACATCCCAATTAACAGTTGATACCCCTAAAGTGTTTATAATATTTACACATCCCAATCAACAGTTGATACCCTTTCAAATAATTTATAAAGTCAAAGGTACCAATTAACAGATGAAAGTCCTCAAAATAGTTTATAAAGTTACAGATACCAATTAACAGCTGATACCCCGTAGGTGTTTATAAAATTTACAGATACTGATTAAATGTTTAAAAACGTGACCAAGGTACAATGTTAATTCCAATATTTTGTGATATTATCTTATGAAATGTTATTGATTATCCTAAAAGACTATTTTGATAAAGATTATTTTGCTCACATCTACAAAGACAACAGTGACCTGCCCAAAGAAGTGATGTTATTTTTGTTGTAGTACTTTATATACAACATTTAGGGAAGTAGGTTATAAACAACATGACAGTGCTCAATACGACCAAAAACATCCGAGATGTTATCCATTTACCTTTCCTACATGCTGATTTATAGTATAATATGTAGTCCATGTAACTGTGTTTAGTCATATCTTATACAGTAATCTATAAAGTATATACATATTTTATTTTGTATATCTATTTTGTTATGTTATATACCAGATGTTCTACAGAAATAAACATTCCAATATTTTTTGTAATAAAAATGTAATATGCATATCAAGTGTTTTGTTATTTTTGTAGAGAGTTTCCTTCGTTTGGAGATTAGATGTAGAGTTATTGGTATAAATTGTGTATGTCACCAATTCTAAGTATTTATTACTGATTAATATGTATACCTTTTATTAGGGCCGACCCTCGACATAATGAGGTAGGTAAATACTACATACTAGAGACCACTACAGTGACATAGGTCAAAGTTCAAAGAGACGGGTTGTACTGTGATCTGGTGTGCATATTTTAGGGGTAATTTTATTTGAGCACTTTTCACTTTTGATTTTGATTGCTCTGATTTTTCTGAATATCCCTTTCTATTGCATATACAGTATTTTGGAAACACTAACTCTTCAATTTACTAATCTGTTCAAAATTTGGGCTGAAATTGGCGTGCGCTAAAATAGGTACTGTTACAGGAGTTGAAGCCACCATTGACAGGTGATCAGGGCTGATGTAACAAGGGGTGGGGAGAAAATCTGTTTGATGTTCAAGCAGCCATTTGAGGTCAAAGTTAAATGACCAAAAAACAAGTTTACGAAATAAGATTGTAGTATCATTAGCAGTCAATGAGACAAGAGCATGAAAAACGTACAACAGATACATTGTCGGTGAGCCAACCAGCCAGTAGAGGTCAACGTCAAGGTGCCCATGTATAAAAAGCATCATCACAGAATCATTGTTGGGAAGCTGTAAAGGCATTAGAGGTTCATCATGGAAGAATGATGACTTCATCGACCCTTGTAGCACTACATCCTCGGGAAGCCTTTCCACTTCTCGCCATTATTTTGTTCCAGCTGAAATAGTTTCCCTTGTTATACAACCAGCATGGTGTCATTCCTTCTGCTTCAGAAAGCCTCCTCATCGGTAACTTTTTGGTCTACCATCCACACATTGATTGTGTTAGAACTCACCAGCAACTAATCTTTACCGGGAATAACCACCCGTCTAGTTCCTCAATTTGAACATTCCGTTAGGCCTAGCTCCTAAAACATGACAATCTTAGTCTCGTATATATTTTTACAACCTTCTCCCACGAGATGGTTAACTCAATTTTCACCACCATCTTGTTGAGCTGTGACAAAACCAATACATTTACGTCTGACATAAATCACCAATTTAACTTACATTTTGATGTTTTACCAGTATTTAAATAATTGATGTCGAGTGTCAAACTTCTCGAACAAACTGAATAGTGTTTAGCTTGTCTTACATGCCCGTCTTTTCCTTTCGTCTCATCTCGTCGTTAATATGCCTGCAGTGTTGAAGAATGTTAACATGTCGTCACATTATCTTCCATCTTTGAAAAATGTATTACTTGCTGAATGTATCCACGTTTATTGTTTTAAGTCATGGAGCTCAAGTGAAATCATGGATCAAATGAAGCTCACAGCATTCAAATGAACTACAAACTTCAGTGATGGCCACCCTTGTGATGCACCGTTTCTTAAAACTCTAGAGGAGATGGAAACAGATGAGACAAGGACAAAAAGAAGCAGGTAGATTGCTGTCTTTTATACAGGACCATCACTACATATATTGACTGCTCCGTCCTTTGAAGACCACGTGCAAGGAAGAGGTACGGATTGTGCACTTCAATGCAAAGAAATCACTTGTCACGAGGATGAGGAGATTGCGGAACCACTCTGTACTACATTAATGTCCAGATCATCAGCGGTCCTGGAAAATGTACATCGACCAAACAACATTCAAGGCAATGTATCTGCTGGCGTTTAACAGGTGGACATTATCGAAGTGCAAGCCAGAAGTGAATGGAAGCATATGAGAAGTTTGGATGTTTAGGGAAAATGACCCCTGTTTAGCACTGTCTGATCGTTTCTTCTTCAGTGAGATACTGAAATTGATTTGGACCCCTATTATTCTTCTCACCTACCTATTCATTCTTTCTGACATATTTATCTCCCTAGTCACCAGGTTAGCCCGCTGTCTCCCTGGGCAACCTCTGGTTAGCCCGCTGTCTCCTGGGCACCTTTTGTCACTGTCTTAATTCCTAGGCAAGCCCATTGCTAAAAGAAATATGCAAGAATTAAGTTTCGTGTTGCCTTATCAAGGATATTTCCATAGCATATACATAAAAGCATTATATAATTATGAGAAAAAAATCAAATTTTAGCATAAGTACATCAGAAAGACTGGGCATAAACAAAACAAAATTAACAAAAGCAAAAGACAAAAATAAGTGACCTGAAATATAACAGAATGTAGACAGTTAAAATACAGAAGTAAGATTTAAGACAAAACACTTGTAAACAGCAAAAAGGCATGAAAAGTTTGATATCACAAACATCAAGGATAAAATGAAAATACATTGGTGTATTTTATTAAAAGTATTGCAAAATTAAACAGATATATATAACAATCAATATGTAGCTAATCACAAAGCATATATTGCCATGCGAATAAAAAACGCACTATATATGAAAAAATCAAACGTAGATTCTATAGCGAACTACGTATATATACAATCTACTCGATCCGATGGTAAAACTGCAGTCTTTAAGAAAATGGAAACAATCAGGAACAATAGTACATGTGCAAAGATTGCTATCCCAGGTTCACAACAGCCTACTAAAAACTTGGTGGTTTTCTGTTTGTTTTACCTCATTAGGTAGCCTGTTCCACACCTGGGCAGCTTCATAGCGAAAGGATTCTTGCCCTTCCTGGTAGTTGTTACCTGTGGTATCTTCACCGTGCCTACTTTCCTGAAATTTTATCAAATTGTCATTTGTAAGATTTTTGGTATAATCTGGTCAAGAGTTTTTTTGAAGATTTTGCCAATTGTTTAGATATTGCGTTGAGCCTGCCTACATGTACACATTCTAGATTATGTCTGGATAAAATATCTTATGCAGGAGACATAAAATCAATCTCAGTAAAATGCAGGGCCATAATTGTTTCTATTTTTTACAAAGATCCAAAACGCGTGAGCAAACTGTTGATGACATGCACACATTGATTCTGATTCTATAGACCTTACTTATTCGGATCTGCATCCCACGCCTATGGCACATGCATGCAGTGGCCTTTTCCAGAACCAGTTTTGCTTGATAACACACCTCAAATGAAAGCGGTGAGCATCACTCATTACCATGGTTTCTGGCCTGTCAGTGCCTCTTGACTTCACCCTTTTTGGTATTTTATGGGGCTCGTCGGCTGTACCAGACAACACTTTAAAGCATTTGCATTGTACACAAAGGAACACCGTAAACCAAAATCACGAAAATATCAACGTCCCATTTGAGTGTTAAACTGGTAACGACCGTTTAGCCCTTCAAGGTGTAGTTGTCAGTTTAGGCAAGTCAGTGCTTTATCATTGACGACCTAAATATATTGTTATAATAAAGAGACCTTTCTATAATCCCCAACTAGAATATTGTCATCAGATACCGACAAGAAACAGCTTTTATTGATGCCCATTCATATGGTTTTCACAACCTACCAATTATTCGGAATAGGATTCAACAGTTTGTTATGAACACACACATTAATAGAAAACTGACAGGTGGATACTCTGAATGGTCGATAAAGTTAAAAAAAAGAAAAGAAAAAGAAAACCAATGAGATTAATGGCCCAAGAAACACTAAAGTACATCACAGAGAGAAAATCTAGCGGCATGGTCACTTTACCATACAAGGGGGGTCTGAAGCACTTTCAAGAGTGCTGCGCAAACATCACACCATCAAACAGCTATTAGTTCATCCGAAAGACAGATTCCTAAAGCAGGAAAGGATAGTCTAGCCCGAGTTTCCTCTGGCCCTGACACCAGACTTAGACATTTTAACAGATAGGTCCTTACAGCCCTTCCCAGCCTACACAACAATAAATGAACCATTACAGACCTGGCCAGCCTACACAACAAAAAATCAACCATTACAGACGTTGCCAGCTTATAACACAACAAAAAATAAACCATTACAGACCTTGCTAGCCTACACAACAATAAATGAACCATTACAGACCTGGCCAGCATACACAACCCTAAATCAACCATTACAGACCGGGCCAGCATACACAACAATAAATCAACAATTCCAGCCCTTGCCAGCTTATAACACAACAATAAATAAACCATTACCGACCTTGCCAGCCTACACACCAATAATTCAACCATTCCAGACCTTGCCAGCTTATAACCCAACAATAAATCAACCATTGCAGTCCTTGCCAGCCTACACACCAATAATTCAACCATTCCAGACCTTGCCAGCTTATAACCCAACAATAAATCAACCATTCCAGCCCTTGCCAGCCTACACACCAATAATTCAACCATTCCAGACCTTGCCAGCTTACAAAACAACAATAAAACAACCATTACAGGCCTTGCCAGCCTACACAACAATCAATCAACCATTACAGACACTGCCAGCCTACACAACAAAAAATCAATCATTACAGACCTGGCCAGCCTACACAACAATCAATCAACCATTACAGACCTGGCCAGCATACACAAAAATAAATCAACCATTACAGACGTTGCCAGCTTATAACACAACAATAATTCAACCATTACAGACCTGGCAAGCATACACAACAAAAAATCACCCATTACAGACCTGGCCAGCATACACAACCCTAAATCAACCATTACAGTCCTTGCCAGCCTACACACCAATAATTCAACCATTCCAGACCTTGCCAGCCTACACACCAATAATTCAACCATTCCAGACCTTGCCAGCCTACGGAACAATAAATCAAAAAATACAGACCTTGCCAGCATACCCAACAATAAATCAACCATTCCAGACCTTGCCAGCTTATAACCCAACAATAAATCAACCATTACAAACCTTGCCAGCATACACAACAATAAATCAACCATTACAGACCTGGCCAGCATACACAACATCATCATAGACTTGAACAACTCTATGAGAGTGTTTGAAAGGGAGGACAGCTGGAAAGTGAAGAAAATCGAAGAGGAATCATTAAAAAAACCGAAGGGGTTCTATCAGCGGAGTCATCTTTATGACCCGATTTTAAACATTTTACCTGTCAATATGACTGCGTGTACTAGCATTAGAAAGATATTTTGCGAAATGTCTCTATAAGTTCTGACAGTGGAATTTAACTTATGAGTCGACTAATGCGTGAGCTCTTTCTAGTCTTCAGACCCTAAATGCTAAACTATTACTATTTCTTTTAACATCTGATGAATTTATGTTAAAGAACAGCTAAAATATGCCAACTGAAAGTGTGATTTATTCTCCATATGGTATACACACACGTACTTTATATAAACATTTCGGGAGCACGCCCCCGATGGAAACAAAAAGTTGGCAAGTGTAACGTTATGAGTCATACAGTAGTGACTATGAATTTCACATTTATAAAGTGTCCTGTTATGTAACGTTATAACATCAAATATAAGATAGTAAGGTAAACATGTTTGTTAAATGTCCCAAATTTAGGAGAAAGCTGTCATTGAAAACATTTGTCAGTGCTTATCAGAAAGTAATATCAGATGGCAAATATTAATCACGTTCCAACGGCGGTACTGGTTTGATTCCGGAATTTCTCACCAGTCGTTGGTTTTATAAGTTATTGACAAGGATTCAAAATGGCGTACAAACAGGTAGTTTGTTACTAACTGTCATTTTTAATAAGCATTATTTTCAAACTTAACTCATATTTGAAGTTATATTTACTATATACACATAAAAAATGTTCCAATAGTCTTATATATCACTGATGTTACTGTCTAATAATTTGGAAACGATGATTTTGAGTGCTTAGTTACGTTTCGCCTGTCGTCGGTTTGTTTACATTTTTACCGATATGATGTTACTATCAATGTATCGCTTGGGCGTACCTGTTTTACCTTGTGTTTCTTTGATCACATATAACTTATGTATATATTCATAAGTACTAAGCAACATCCCTGATTGTTAACTGAAGTAACCTGGTCCTACCTGAAGGTATCCCGTGGGTGTCACCCATGCGTGACGGAGATGAAGGGCTAGATCTGTCAGCATAATGACAGGTGATAACCTGATAAATCGCCTCGGGGTTCTGGTTTGTTTAAGTCTCACTCTAGTATCACAACATGGCGACAGGTAAAAGGGAAGACAATCTTTCAGAACAGGAAGGACAGTCTTTAAGACTCGCTGGGATTGATAATATAACTTTTAAATTTGGAAAATCACAACCAGTAAGTCTAAAAAGTGTTGTTTTTGAAAGCTCAGTAACATAATTTACTGATCCAGAACCAGGCCAGTGCCTATCATTGCATTCATCTTATGATTTTGATGAAGTTTAACATAAACTTACTGTTTTGCATCGGTCTTATAAAATGTATAAACTAACATCATATCAGATTTTCTTAAAAAAAATCCACAACAATAGTAAGAGGTTTTAAACCAGTACAAGGCTTTTTTTTTAAGTTGTAAAAAAGTGACCAGTAACTCTCATATACCGATAGCTACTGGTAATTCCCTTAGACTCTGTAGCATAAATACTTTTTCATTACTAGAACTGAAACAAAACTGTTTTATTTCATATATATATATATTTTAATTCGTTAAAATACTTGTAGCGATTTTTACTAATAAAACTCTTTATCCATAATTGATAGAGTCATACACCAATAAGATTAGATATACCTGGTGTGATGTTCTGATTCTGTGACTTTTCCACACAGGGCCACCCCGACTATGAGCATGACCACCTGGTGGGAGGTGAGCTGGACCCTGGGATGCTGGAATCTGACAGTAAGTCTGATGATTTAGGATCTGGAGTATAATATAATACTTTTGTTGTGATGAGACAGATTTTCAATTTGTAGGTAACAAAATATTTATTTTTATTGTGATTCATAATTGAGGAAAAAAGCACTTATTCAGTAAAACTTAAATGGAAAATGATGCTTCAAATTGCAAATTAATAGAAAATATAGATAAAAGGCTAAAATGATGCATTATTTAATAATGTCTTGTGAATTTAATTATTATTAAACATAATTTCAAATAAACAATTTTCAGATGTGGAAGTGGTCATTTGGCTAAGAGATCGGAAGGGCATTCACGTTAATTTGGAGGGTAATGGACAACTAGCTGAGGCCGCTGATCTATTTGAAATTGTGAAAGAGCACCGCAAGCTGCCAGACTTCGTGGATAACATCTTTTCAATCTGGATGGTCTCCCCTTTACTAGGTCAGTCAGTGATTTTTTGGACTTGAATATTTTCACACTTTTCATTGGTCAGTTGATTTTCTCGCTGCTACTAGCTAGGTCAGTTTTGATGGTCTCATCTCTACTTGCTATGTTTAGATGTACCTGTAGTATAACAAGTTTAGAAACACCAGTATTTGTCCAAACATTTTGAAATTCTCTTATAAATCAAACTTAACCAATACTAACCTGTAATTGAATTATAAAATGAAAACTTTGTCAGTTCTTATTGAGATAAATGTAACATAAATGACCTTATTGTTTCTTTCAGAATTAAGACTGAAGCGTTCTCACAAAGCCTTCCAATTTGCACAGCTATGGGACGAGTTCTGTGGCATATATACAGATGCAAAAACAGACGAAGTTTCTCGCGGTAAGCTTAGAGATAGCTGTTGTTATAATTTAAACAGCTATGAGATGAGCTTTGTAGTTTGAGTATTGAAGCAAAAACAAATAAAGTTTCTCAAGGTAATACAGCTTAGTGATAAGTATGATACAACATGATGAGATTTGCTTGCTGTTATGAAACTACGAACTTAAATTTTAAGTTGAAATCTTTTTACGTTCAGTTTGTAATAATTCCCATCCTGACACTGCAGAGATTATGCTCACTTACGTTCTCTGCCCCCCTGGAATAATGAGTCATGACAAAATCAAAGGCTCAGTGTGCTCCACCTTGTTGATGAAACAGGAAGGCTTTGAAGTCAGGTGTTGCTCCTCTGTAAACTTCAAAGGACAGGTATCAGCTTTGCGGTCGGCCAGTTCTTTTTTTACCTGAGACCAATCAAATGGCTAGCTGAGTGCCTTCAATTTTGCTATGACTTATTCCAGGGGTGCAGAGAGCATAATTATATAAGTGAGCATAACCCCTGGAGTATCGATGATGAACGTTTCCTTACAAAACGAAGACCTTCATTGAGTGATACCTCAAAATAGTCAAGTACCTGAGGAAAGTGTAGCTTATTGTTTTTATTTGTCAGATGAACCAGTGGTCATGTTCCAGAGGAATGTGTTCTTGTCCTTGAAGGAAGAGAAAAGGGTAATGTCTTCTGTATTTCCTGGTATTAAACACTCAAAGGGTTGTTAGCTACTTCACTGAGGCAACTTTGAGCAAGTGGAAACATATGTTAGTAAACTTCTGATGGATTAAAAGAAAATATGTCAAGTGTTCTTTTTCATAAATTTTGTGTAAAGCTTTTTTTTATCTAACAGAAATCATTAGCATACTCATTGACTTTTAATGTTAAATGTTTCTGTATTATCTAGTGAATGTGATACTTGTACTGTTAAATGTTTCTGTATTATCTAGTGAATGTGATACTTGTAATGTTAAATGTTTTTGTATTATCCTAGTGAATGTGATACTTGTATTGTGAAAGGTTTTTGTATTATCTAGTGAATGTGATACTTTTATTGTTAAATGTTTTTGTGTTGTCTAGTGAATGTGATACTTGAATTGTTAAATGTTTTTGTATTAACCTAGTGAATGTGATACTTGAATTGTTAAATGTTTTTGTATTATCCTAGTGAATGTGATACTTGTATTGTTAAATGTTTTTGTATTATCCTGGTGAATGTGATACTTGTATTTAGGTTATGACAATCAAGGATATATTTATATGCCCTATCCAAAGGAAAGGGTACTGCTTCATCTGTTAGAACACTGACAATACCCCATAAGATAGTAATGATATTCTTAGCACAAAACATGGCAGTAGTCAATAGAAAGTGGCGGTATCATCAGGACCAGGCACTATTGTCACACAGCCAGCATGTAGTTATCCAATCAGCATTCTGGATTTGATCATGTAATGCACTGTAACCAGATATAGACCTAAGACTGGACAGTGTAGTAATAGTTGTTCTGTGGGTTTCAGTACTGGCAGCTTGCCACAGAGGATGTCTTATCACTCTTATACCATGAGTCTAAGTTCAACGTGATAGATGGTCGATACATTGTGTCTGAGAGAGACTATGACATCCTGGCTGGGATACAGGCTCTCATAGAGAGAGGGAGGTACAGCAGCAGTAAACACACTCCAGAAACATATAAGTAAGTCCGACTATCCAGTGGTGAGATAATATACATTTCACAGTGTTGTCTCTAAACATTTCCTTCAAGTAAGTATGGATTATGAGAAATTCTTTTTACACAACCAATAAAAAAAATTATGTGACGTTTCAATGACTAGTATGACATGTACACTGTCACCTTCATCAGACAAATGATCAATGAAGTGTATGTACACAAAGGTGTAAAATGTGTACGAGTTGTCCATAAAATCGATGTTGATTTCAGCTACGCTGGAAACATATGTACAATAGTTGTCATATATGTACCGAAATGACTCAATTCAGCTATGTTTTGTTAACACTTGGTCATAGATGTGTGAGAGTGTTGTCACTGACACAATGTCACTCTACGTGTTTTAACTGACACAATGCCACTCTACGAGTTGTCACTGCCACAATGCCACCCTACGTGTTGTCCCTGACACAATGCCACTCTACGAGTTGTCACTGCCACAATGCCACCCTACGTGTTGTCCCTGACACAATGCCACTCTACGAGTTGTCACTGCCACAATGCCACCCTACGTGTTGTCCCTGACACAATGCCACTCTACGAGTTGTCACTGACACAATGCCACTCCACGTGTTGTTACTGACACAATGTCACTCTACGTGTTTTCACTGACACAATGCCACTATACGTGTTGTCACTGACACAATGACACTATACGTGTTGTCCCTGACACAATGCCACTCTACGAGTTGTCACTGCCACAATGCCACCCTACGTGTTGTCCCTGACACAATGCCACTCTACGAGTTGTCACTGACACAATGCCACTATACGTGTTGTCACTGACACAATGCCCCTATACGTGTTGTCACTGACACAATGCCAATATACGTGTTGTCACTGACACAATGCCCCTATACGTGTTGTCACTGACACAATGACACTATACGTGTTGTCCCTGACACAATGCCACTCTACGTGTTGTCACTGACACGATGCCACTATACGTGTTGTCACTGACACAATGACACTATACGTGTTGTCCCTGACACAATGCCACTCTACGTGTTATCACTGACACAATGCCACTCTACGGGTTGTCACTGACACAATGTCACTTTACGTGTTGTCACTGACACAATGTCAGTCTACTAGTTGTCACTGACACAATGGCACTATCCGTGTTGTCACTGACACAATGTCACTATACGTGTTGTCATTGACACAATGCCACTCTACGGGTTGTCACTGACACAATGTCACTATACGTGTTGTCATTGACACAATGCCACTCTACGGGTTGTCACTGACACAATGTCACTATACGTGTTGTCATTGACACAATGCCACTCTACGGGTTGTCACTGACACAATGTCACTTTACGTGTTGTCACTGACACAATGACACTATACGTGTTGTCCCTGACACAATGCCACTCTACGTGTTATCACTGACACAATGCCACTCTACGGGTTGTCACTGACACAATGAAACTCTACGTGTTGTCACTGACACGATGCCACTATACGTGTTGTCACTGACACAATGTCAGTCTACTAGTTGTCACTGACACAATGTCACTATACGTGTTGTCACTGACACAATGTCAGTCTACTAGTTGTCACTGACACAATGTCACTTTACGTGTTGTCACTGACACAATGTCCCTCTACGTGTTGTCACTGACACAATGCCAATATACGTGTTGTCACTGACACAATGCCACTATACGTGTTGTCACTGACACAATGTCACTCTACTAGTTGTCACTGACACAATGTCACTCTACGTGTACTACTAATCAGTTTAATTATTCATTGAATCCTGATATCATGTTATTTTTCTGATTAGACAAATGTTTCACTTGCGATATATGGAAGTTTCTGTCTAAGAGTTTGCTTTTATCTGTTTTCAGATATAAATAAATGATTTCTGAGTATCTGTTGCATCTGTTATCAAGTTAACATACTGATGAATTGATTTAGAAGTAAAGTGTATACAAATCTGTGTTGCTAAATGTTTAACTCTCTGTAACATTGTCTTGCAGAGATGATATCAACAAATACTACCCAGTTCACATCTACAAAACCAAGAAGTCCCTGATGGAGACGATACGGAGGACAAACAAAAAGTACAATGAACTTCACCTAGAGGGGGTTCACCAGCAGGCTTCTGACAATATCGGGGAGGAGGAGCGCACTCAGCTGTATCTCCGCTACCTAGACATCTGCTCTAGCTACCCCTTCTATGGGTAAGTGTCAATGTACTATAGACCCTTCTGTGAAGTACCACTGTATCACCGTTACATAGACATCTGCTCTAGCTACCCCTTCTATGGGTAAGTGTCAATGTACTATAGACCTTTCTGTGAAGGACCATTGTATCTCCGTTACCTAGACGTCTGCTCTAGCTACCCCTTCTAAGGGTAAATGTCATTGTACTATCAACCCTTCTGTGAAGGACCATTGTATCTCTGTTACCTAGACATCTGCTCTAGCTACCCCTTCTATGGGTAAGTGTTAATGTACTATGGACCTTTCTGTGAAGTACCACTGTATCACCGTTACATAGACATCTGCTCTAGCTACCCCTTCTATGGGTAAGTGTTAATGTACTATAGACCTTTCTGTGAAGTACCACTGTATCACCGTTACCTAGACATCTGCTCTAGCTACCCCTTTTATGGGTAAGTGTTAATGTACTTTGGACCTTTCTGTGAAGTACCACTGTATCACCGTTACCTAGACATCTGCTCTAGCTACCCCTTCTATGAGTAAGTGTTAATGTACTATTTCTGTGAAGTACCACTGTATCACCGTTACCTAGACATCTGCTCTAGCTACCCCTTCTATGGGTAAGTGTTAATGTACTATAGACCTTTCTGTGAAGTACCACTGTATCTCCGCTACCTAGACATCTGCTCTAGCTACCCCTTCTATGGGTAAGTGTTAATGTACTATAGACCTTTCTGTGAAGGACCACTGTATCTCCGCCACCTAGATGTCTGCTCTAGCTACCCCTTCTATGAGTAAGTGTTAATGTACTATTTCTGTGAAGTACCACTGTATCTCTGTTACCTAGCTGTCTGCTCTAGCTACCCCTTCTATGGGTAAGTGTCAATGTACTATAGACCCTTCTGTGAAGTACCACTATATCTCCGCCACCTAGACGTCTGCTCTAGCTACCCCTTCTATGGGTAAGTGTCAATGTACTATCAACTCTTTTTTCTATTCTTGGAGACAGCAGTAAAGCTAAGTCTGGGAATTTAATCCTTAGATCAGTGATCTTGATCATTGTCACCAGCTTGGTCCTACAGGAGTGAAAAAAATGGATATGGGAAAAAGAGAAATTCGTCCTGAGGGTGTAGAATTCGGGTTAGGACCGAATCTGTGATGAGGGATACATTCATTGTGTTCGAGCACTGGGGAATCAAGAATATATTTGTAGAGAAAAGTAGAGAAGTAGGTTAATACTGGAGGTATACTTTAAGATAAAAGCAGTTTCTAAAAGCTGCACATCCAGTTTACCTAATAATTGCTTATAACCATCAGATGATACCAACTGTGTTTAGCAGTAAATTTTCTATAGCAGATAAAAATGTCAATTTAATGATGCCACTTATCACATTGAAATAAAGTCACCTATCGGAAAATATAGTCATGTATCAGAAAGTAAGACATTAAAGTACTGAAGATTTTTGAACTAATACTTCCTTGTCAAGATTTACATAAAAACCTATAAAAACCTCTATATGGGATAGAGTTATCCCACATGCATATGAGCATCCCTAACAGTAAGCCTGTTGTACAATGATGATATGTATATTTACAGGAGTGCTTTCTTTGAGGCAGTGCTACAGAAACCATCTGGCAAGTTCAGTACGATGATGACCAACATATTCTCACTAGGGTTCCCGGAGATGGATGTCCTGGTGGCAATAAACACAGAGGGAATCTGTGTCATACACGAAGAATACAAGGTAACGCTGTCACTGACACAGGGTCTATCTGTATCACACATGAGGAACACAAGGTAATGCTGTCACTGACACAGGGTCTATCTGTATCACACATGAGGAACACAAGGTAACGCTGTCACTGACACAGGGTCTATCTGTATCACACATGAGGAACACAAGGTAACGCTGTCACTGACACAGGGTATATCTGTATCACACATGAGGAACACAAGGTAACGCTGTCACTGACACAGGGTATATCTGTATCACACATGAGGAACACAAGGTAACGCTGTCACTGACACAGGGTATATCTGTATCACACATGAGGAACACAAGGTAACGCTGTCACTGACACAGGGTATATCTGTATCACACATGAGGAACACAAGGTAACGCTGTCACTGACACAGGGTATATCTGTATCACACATGAGGAACACAAGGTAACGCTGTCACTGACACAGGGTATATCTGTATCACACATGAGGAACACAAGGTAACGCTGTCACTGACACAGGGTATATCTGTATCACACATGAGGAACACAAGGTAACGCTGTCACTGACACAGGGTATATCTGTATCACACATGAGGAACACAAGGTAACGCTGTCACTGACACAGGGTATATCTGTATCACACATGAGGAACACAAGGTAACGCTGTCACTGACACAGGGTATATCTGTATCACACATGAGGAACACAAGGTAACGCTGTCACTGACACAGGGTATATCTGTATCACACATGAGGAACACAAGGTAACGCTGTCACTGACACAGGGTATATCTGTATCACACATGAGGAACACAAGGTAACGCTGTCACTGACACAGGGTATATCTGTATCACACATGAGGAACACAAGGTAACGCTGTCACTGACACAGGGTATATCTGTATCACACATGAGGAACACAAGGTAACGCTGTCACTGACACAGGGTATATCTGTATCACACATGAGGAACACAAGGTAACGCTGTCACTGACACAGGGTATATCTGTATCACACATGAGGAACACAAGGTAACGCTGTCACTGACACAGGGTATATCTGTATCACACATGAGGAACACAAGGTAACGCTGTCACTGACACAGGGTATATCTGTATCACACATGAGGAACACAAGGTAACGCTGTCACTGACACAGGGTATATCTGTATCACACATGAGGAACACAAGGTAACGCTGTCACTGACACAGGGTATATCTGTATCACACATGAGGAACACAAGGTAACGCTGTCACTGACACAGGGTATATCTGTATCACACATGAGGAACACAAGGTAACGCTGTCACTGACACAGGGTATATCTGTATCACACATGAGGAACACAAGGTAACGCTGTCACTGACACAGGGTATATCTGTATCACACATGAGGAACACAAGGTAACGCTGTCACTGACACAGGGTATATCTGTATCACACATGAGGAACACAAGGTAACGCTGTCACTGACACAGGGTATATCTGTATCACACATGAGGAACACAAGGTAACGCTGTCACTGACACAGGGTATATCTGTATCACACATGAGGAACACAAGGTAACGCTGTCACTGACACAGGGTATATCTGTATCACACATGAGGAACACAAGGTAACGCTGTCACTGACACAGGGTATATCTGTATCACACATGAGGAACACAAGGTAACGCTGTCACTGACACAGGGTATATCTGTATCACACATGAGGAACACAAGGTAACGCTGTCACTGACACAGGGTATATCTGTATCACACATGAGGAACACAAGGTAACGCTGTCACTGACACAGGGTATATCTGTATCACACATGAGGAACACAAGGTAACGCTGTCACTGACACAGGGTATATCTGTATCACACATGAGGAACACAAGGTAACGCTGTCACTGACACAGGGTATATCTGTATCACACATGAGGAACACAAGGTAACGCTGTCACTGACACAGGGTATATCTGTATCACACATGAGGAACACAAGGTAATGGTGTCACTGACAAAGGTTAACGGAGTCATATAAGTGAGACAGGACTAGACAGGACAATGTTTGGTATGCCATGTCAACATCGTTAGCACATTTTTAGATCACCAGAAACAAAGTTGAGACAAAAAGGTGAAGTTGCTAAACTCATTTAGAAATATAACACCATGCAAATAGCAGTCAAGTTAAAGGTGTTGTATTGTTTTTGTTAATCAGTATTTGTCCACTCTCTTGACTCTTATGCAGATAAATACTGATATGAAGAATCACTTGTAAAATTGGGAAGTTTTCACTACTTCAGACGATCATGTTCTGGTTCTCTGAATGATTAATTAACAATTGACAACAGTTTGCAAATGATTGCAATGGTGCCCAAAGGCCTTGTGACGTGCCTGCTATTTCACCAGCTAACCACACTAGATCATTATCATAACTGTTGCTGTCATATGGAAATGGACTGTGAGATAACTTAAAATGTTAAAATTAATAGCTTTATGTTCTATTTCACCAGTTCAAAATAACATAAATGATTTATCAAATTAAAATCTGCACACTGTGCTCAGAATACAGCTGACTGCAGCTAGCACTATACTGTTATTTCATGTTTACTCTAACAGGCCACACATGACTATCACAACAACACAGTGTTACATTGATAAATACAGATGTAAATATGTCATGTTTCAGACTGTTATTCTAGCCACACCATACGAACAGTTGTCCTGGGACCTGGATCTGAACGAGGATGAACCCGACAAACTACCTGCCTTACTGTTACAGTTCTTAGTGAATGAGGAGGATGGACCCATCACCAAAGTCCTACAGATCTACTCAAGACAGGTAACGTCTCTAACAGCACTAACTACTGTCACTACCTTTCTCAAACCTGTCTCCACCACCCTACATCACCACAAATCTGTCTCCAACACCCTACATCACCACAAACCTGTCTCCACCACCCTACATCACCACAAAACTGCCTGGCTAATATATATCTTTAACCTATACTCAAGGTCCAAAGCCCTTATACAAATATTTGTGTGTTTCAGTTTGAAATGTATAATGCATCTGATTGGCCTGAGACATCTTAAATATTTTGTCAAGTTCCTCAGGAACATTTTATATTAAAATATAAAATTTTACTACTCTGTACAAAGATTTAAAAGTATTTGATTACATTACAGTTTAAGATTCATTTATTTTCTTCAGTTTAGATAAAAAAAAAATACATATGAGTGATCCGAAGTCCTCTAGGCCTCTTCTCCCTATTCATGTATCAACATGTCTGACAAATGGTTTAGGGACTATTATCTGTAGCCGTGAGCAAAGGATCTCTAAAGTAGGACATAGCATTGCTTGCTGATTAAGATTATTATTATTCATTTCAGGCCAAGTTAATGGATGCCTTAGTGGAGACTTGTGTCAAGAGAAAACATCACGAAGGCTATGACTCATCAAAACATGGTTCGTATACTGGATTGTCACAGATACATTCTGGTACTCAAATCCATCAAGAGCAGTTTCTTTTATTAAATGATAAAGTGAATGAGCTTTACTATCTAACCTGTACTAATGGAGTATGTGGTTCACTTTTTTACATTTTTGTTTTATGAGATTGTATTGGAAGTATGAGGAATACTGACTAAATGAGCCTTCTTACGGGTAATATGTAGTTTGTTCACTATTTGAGTCCGTAGTTACAGAGGTGTGTAGTATGTTCGCCATTCAACTCTGTAGTAATGGGGGTATGATCAATATTTGTGTCCGTAGTTACAGAGGTATGTGGTATGTTTGCCATTTAACTCTGTAGTAATGGGGGTAGGATCAATATTTGTGTTTGTAGTTACAGAGGTGTGTAGTATGTTCGCCATTCAACTCTGTAGTAATGGGGATAGGATCAATATTTGTGTCCGTAGTTACAGAGGAATGTGGCATGTTCGCCATTCAACTTTGTAGTAATGGGGGTAGGATCAATATTTGTGTCTGTAGTTACAGAGGTATGTGGTATGTTCGCCATTCAACTCTGTAGTAATGGGGGTATGATCAATATTTGAGTCCGTAGCTACAGAGGTGTGTGGTATGTTCGCCATTCAACTCTGTAGTAATGGGTGTAGGATCAATATTTGTGTTTGATTTAACTTTGTAGTAATGGGGGGAGGATCAATATTTGTGTCCGTAGGTACAGAGGTGTGTAGTATGTTCGCCATTCAACTCTGTGGTAATGGGGGTAGGATCAATATTTGTGTCCGTAGTTACAGAGGTATGTAGTATGTTCGCCATTCAACTTTGTTGTAATGGGGGTAGGATCAATATTTGTGTCCGTAGTTACAGAAGTATGTGGTATGTTCTTCATTTAACTCTTTAGTAATGGGGGTATGATCAATATTTGTGTCCGTAGTGACAGAGGTATGTGGTATGGTCGCCATTTAACTTTGTAGTAATGGGGGTATGATCAATATTTGAGTCCGTAGCTACAGAGGCGTGTGGTATGTTCGCCATTTAACTTTGTAGTAATGGGGGAAGGATCAATATTTGTGTCCGTAGTTACCGAGGTATGTGGTATGTTTGCCATTTAACTCTGTAGTAATGGGGGAAGGATCAATATTTGTGTTTGTAGATACAGAGGTGTGTAGTATGTTCGCCATTTAACTCTGTAGTAATGGGGGTAGGATCAATATTGTGTCCTTAGTTACAGAGGTATGTGGTATGTTCGCCATTCAACTTTGTAGTAATGGGGGTAGGATCAATATTTGTGTCCGTAGTTACAGAGGTATGTGGTATGTTCTTCATTTAACTCTTTAGTAATGGGGGTATGATCAATATTTGTGTTTGTAGTTACAGAGGTGTGTGGTATGTTCGCCATTTAACTCTGTAGTAATGGGGGTATGATCAATATTTGAGTCCGTAGCTACAGAGGTGTGTGGTATGTTCGCCATTCAACTTTGTAGTAATGGGGGTAGGATCAATATTTGAGTCTGTAGTTACAGAGGTGTGTGGTATGTTCGCCATTTAACTCTGTAGTAATGGGGGTAGGATCAATATTTGTGTCGGTAGTTATAGAGGTATGTGGTATGTTCGCCATTTAACTCTGTAGTAATGGGGGTAGGATCAATATTTGAGTCTGTAGTTACAGAGGTGTGTGGTATGTTCGCCATTTAACTCTGTAGAAATGGGGGTATGATCAATATTTGTGTTTGTAGTTATAGAGGTATGTGGTATGTTCGCCATTCAACTTTGTAGTAATGGGGGTAGGATCAATATTTGAGTCCGTAGTTACAGAGGTGTGTGGTATGTTCACCATTTAACTCTGTAGTAATGGGGGTAGGATCAATATTTGTGTCCGTAGTTACAGAGGTGTGTGGTATGTTCGCCATTCAACTTTGTAGTAATGGGGGTATGATCAATATTTGTGTCTGTAGTTACAGAGGTATGTAGTATGTTCGCCATTCAACTTTGTAGTAATGGGGGTAGGATCAATATGTGGGGCAGTAGTAACAGCGTTCTGTGAAATTTACACTACCATTATTTATAGATCACACTACATTTGCTGTTTCTGTTTACAGAAGAGTTCTGTAGAGGCGTGACCAACCAGATGGAAAAGATGTGCTTAAATACCTACACTCTGGAGGGACAGGCTTGTGAATGAAGCTAAACAGAACCCCATCAGATCATTCGTAGCAAAAAGAAAACTTGAACCTGTGTTAACCTAAGAGAACAGATCTTTTCCTACTAATGGTAATGGTAACCTATCTATCTGGTGTCGTATCATGAACATTTTATATCTGTGCATATGTTGGGGAACACTTGTCTTCATTGAACAATATTTTTGATTGAGAAATATTTTGCAATTGAACCTCATGTCATAAACCAGGAACAAATGAATACCCCAGTTGGCTTTTATTAATTACTCAGTCTGTTGAATTAACTTTGATGTCAAAGTTGTCACAGCCAAGTAGTGGAATAGGAAACTTGCAATCCATAAAACTGTCTGTTTTTGAACATTTTCACTTACTGTTACAAACAGAATACAGTGTTGAAATGTAACAAACAGGATTTTATTGTGTACCAGGCATATTGAATCAAAATTTATTCCATGTAATGTTTCATAATCTATTTTGTGTTTTTGTTTTTTTTGCAATTCAAAGTTTATTCATAAAAAACTGATTTTTTATTATCAGGGTAAAATTGACAAAGATATCAGAAGTTATATCATGTGTGTAGCAAAACCTTGCAATAGAAACTGAAGTGTCTCACTATCCAGTGTGTATAGACTGAGGTGTCTCACAGTCCAGTGTATACAGACTGATGCATCTCACTGTCCAGTGTGTATAGACTGAAGTGTCTCACTGTCCAGTGTGTATAGACTGAGGTGTCTCACTGTCCAGTGTGTATAGACTGAGGTGTATCACTGTCTAGTTTATATAGACTGAGGTGTCTCACTGTCTAATACATATAGACTGAGGTGTCTCACTGTCTAGTACATATAGACTGAGGTGTCTCACTGTCTAGAATATATAGACTGAGGTGTCTCACTGTCTAGTATATATAGACTGAGGTGTCTCACTGTCTAGTACATACAGACTGAGGTGTCTCACTGTCAAGTACATATAGACTGAAGTGTATCACTGTCTAGTACATATAGACTGATGTGTCTCACTGTCTAGTACATATAGACTGAGGTGTCTCACTGTCTAGTACATATAGACTGAGGTGTCTCACTGTCTAGTATGTATGCAATAGAAGCTCTGTAAAGACTGCGGCATGTTTAAGATTTCTCTTCACTCAGTATTAGAGGTTGGGATATTGTTTATCATGACATTGTTTATTTCCTGTTATTTATGACTATGTGTAGTAGTTTCTCGTGTTTTGTAATTATGTTTGTATTCATTTTGATAATATGTTTGATTTTTTTATAGATATTATGTAGGTTTGGATGGTTTATAAGCTTCAGTTACATGGATTTTTGTATTAATAGTTTACAAGTTTTGGTGTAGTTATATGCTTTCTTTAACATGACAGGGTATGAACTTTATAAACGATGTAGATCAATATATACATTATACTTTTGTTAGACTTTGAAAATTTATATTAACACAGCCATATTAACTTCAGTGGGCAAGCCTATAAAACTGAAATCTTGCTGGATCCTTACAAATAGTGTACAAGATTTTTATAATAACTTTATGGCCTTCAATAATTTGTGATTGCTTTTACACTTTGTATTTGTTAGTGTATTTTAAAAACTGATGATTGATTAAAATGGTTGTTGATATAAATATTTTTGGTACAAAGTACAAGAAAAAATGTCTACGCATGGACTATTCATCAACACTTACATCACCATTGTGTAGGTAGTTGACTTATTGTTCATCTCAATTATATGGTACCTGTTATGTTGTATATCCTTATATGGTAGCATGATGTAGGGTTATGTTTACCATACACCCATATATGGTGACAAGGTGTAGGATTATGTTATTATACACCCATATATGGTCGCATGATGTAGGATTATGTTATCATACACCTATATATGGTATCATGATGTAGGATTATGTTATCATACACCCAGATATGGTGGCATGGTGTAGGATTATGTTATCTTACACCCATATATGGTATCATGATGTATGATTATGTTATCATACACCCATGTATGGTGGCATGGTGTAGGATTATGTTTACCATACACCCATATATGGTGACAAGGTGTAGGATTATGTTATTATACACCCATATATGGTAGCATGATGTGGGATTATGTCATCATACACCCATATATGGGGACATGGTGTAGGATTATGTTATCATACACACATATATGGTGGCATGGTGTAGGATTAGGTTATCATACACCCATATATATGGTGACATGGTGTAGGATTATGTTATGATACACCCATATATGGTGGCATGGTGTAGGATTAGGTTATCATACACCCATATATATGGTGACATGGAGTAGGATTATGTTATCATACACCCATATATGTGGTGACATGGTGTAGGATTATGTTATCATACACACATATATGGTGGCATGGTGTAGGATTATGTTTACCATACACCCATATATGGTGACAAGGTGTAGGATTATGTTATTATACACCCATATATGGTAGCATGATGTAGGGTTATGTTTACCATACACCCATATATGGTGGCATGGTGTAGGATTATGTTATCATACACCCATATATGGTATCATGATGTAGGATTATGTTATCATACACCCATATATGGTGGCATGGTGTAGGATTATGTTATCATACACCCATATATGGTAGCATGATGTAGGTTTATGTTATCATACACCCATATATGGTAGCATAATGTAGGATTATGTTTACCATACACCCATATATGGTAGCATGATGCAGGATTATGTATATCATGCATCCCTAAATGGAAGCAAGATTTAAGAGTGTATATTGTAGAATATATGGTAGTATACTATTGAAACATAAATTTACTGAATGCAACTGATGTTCTACATGTAGAAAGCTATCCCTTTCTGTGATATTTATCTTCAACAATTATTACTGTGATTGACCATATTTTAGTGGTGATCACATTTAGTGATTAACTTATTTTAGCCATTCTTTACCTGTAGATGAGCAGGTGATGGTAACTGTATGATAGTACAGGTGTACTAGTGTATATTATCTGTTAAAAGCGTTAAACAAGAGATGTAATTGTAGGAGTACTGAATTAGACAGGGGAGGGTACTTTGATAGTACTACAGCGTCAGATTAACTGGTCTGGAACTGAAATATTAACATTAATAATATAGCACTTTTGTGTCATAATATAAACAATACGAATATAGTAGTTTTTAGTGTGAGCTAGTCGTGTATCTGTCTAAACTTTTCCAGTGTCAAGATTACTATATCTCCATGTTTTAAATGTATTTCCTCACATGATCAGCCTGCTACACAAAATGAAGAAATATCTAGATCACTGATGTATAGGGTGTCATTTTTTTCATAAATGTTTTGTAACAAGTTAACCGGGTATTCATTTTAGCAAAGCTCTGCCTGGCTTAAAGAAAATCTTTGAGATGGGTTTATGAACCTTTTAGGGGGCAGGTATAATACAATTGACCTGTAAGAAGGCAGGAAGATGCTATGTAGTGTTGTGACACCTGATTTTTGCGTCATGTTTATAAACTGTTCAAAGTACTTTCGTGATATGATAGGCATATACTTACACTGGTATAGGTATGTAACTATATCAGTCATGCAGCATTCAGAATTTCTGTGAGGATTCAAAGCAATGTATACAAATCCTTCAGGGTATCTAGATATCTAGGTTTGTCTGTCTATTGATTCAGGGTATCTAGATATCTAGGTTTGTCTGTATAATGATTCAGAGGATGGGTATCTAGGTTTGTCTGTATAATGATTCAGAGGACGGGTATCTAAGTTTGACTGTATAATGATTCAGAGGACAGGTATCTAGGTTTGTCTGTATAATGATTCAGAGGACGGGTATCTAAGTTTGTCTGTATAATGATTCAGATGATGGGTATCTAAGTTTGTCTGTATAATGATTCAGAGGATGGGTATCTAAGTTTGACTGTATAATGATTCAGAGGATGGGTATCTAGGTTTGTCTGTATAATGATTCAGAGGATGGGTATCTAAGTTTGACTGTATAATGATTCAGAGGACGGGCATCTAAGTTTGACTGTATAATGATTCAGAGGACGGGTATCTAGGTTTGTCTGTATAATGATTCAGAGGATGGGTATCTAGGTTTGTCTGTATAATGATTCAGAGGACGGGTATCTAAGTTTGTCTGTATAATGATTCAGAGGACAAGTATCCAAGTTTGTCTGTATAATGATTCAGAGGACGGGTATCTAGGTTTGTCTGTATAATGATTCAAAGGATGGGTAACTACGTTTGACTGTCCATTGATTCAGAGGATGGGTATCTAGGTTTGACTGTCTATTGATTCAGAGGATAGGTAACTACGTTTGTCTGTCTATTGATTCAGAGGACGGGTATCTAGGTTTGTCTGTCATTGTTTCAGAGGACGGGTATCTAGATTTGTCTGTCTATTGATTCAGAGGATGGGTATCTAGGTTTGTCTGTCATTGTTTCAGAGGACTGGTATCTAGGTTTGTCTGTCTATTGATTCAGAGGATGGGTATCTAGGTTTGTCTGTCTATTGATGCAGTGGGCTGGTATCCAATGCTGTCTGCATATTGATTTAGATGACAGGTATCTAGGATTGAATTTTGAAGATTTGCTGACGATTTCTGGAACTTACATTCAAAGGCAAACTTCACATTTATTTGAAGAGAGGGCTTATGTAAATTAGAAATGTCTCAAATGTTTTTTTAGACAAGATACCTACAACTGTTGATAATGAGGTGACCTACCGTCAAAGCATTGTTTTTTGTTTACGTTTTTCCTTTTTGTAAACTTTGTCAATGTTTAAAATAATCCAATGACATTATAGAACTCAAATGGTAGCTGTTGTTTAATATAATTAATTTATCTTTTATGAGGAAGGCTTATGTGTGCTAATCCGTTTGTGTATATATTTTGTAGATTCTTTCCACTATGTCTATGTAATATGTGATTGATTTATGAGTAATATTTGTATTGACGTTATAAACACATCTGCTTTATAAGTCATTTTCTGTCAGCCATTTCTATGTCGATTTTTTTTCTTAATAAAAAAGTTTTTTAAAAAAGACCACCTGTATTATTGTAAGTGTCGTTATTTATGCTTGTCATGTGTAACATGTTATGTGTAACAGTGGGGTGTTAAGCTTGTCATGTGTAACAGTGGGGTGTGAAGCTTGTCATGTGTAATAGTGGGGTGTTAAGTTTGTCATGTGTAATAGTGGGGTGTGAAGCTTGCCATGTGTAACAGTGGGGTGTGAAGCGTGTCATGTGTAACAGTGGGGTGTGAAGCTTGTCATGTGTAATAGTGGGGTGTTAAGTTTGTCATGTGTAATAGTGGGGTGTGAAGCTTGCCATGTGTAACAGTGGGGTGTGAAGCTTGTCATGTGTCACAGTGGGGTGTGATGGTTGTCATGTGTAACAGTGGGGTGTGAAGGTTGTCATGTGTAACAGTGGGGTGTGAAGCTTGTCATGTGTAACAGTGGGGTGTGAAGCTTGTCATGTGTAACAGTGGGGTGTGAAGCTTGTCATGTGTAACAGTGGGGTGTGAAGCTTGTCATGTGTAACAGTGGGGTGTGAAGCTTGTCATGTGTAACAGTGGGGTGTGAAGCTTGTCATGTGTAACAGTGGGGTGTGAAGCTTGTCATGTGTAACAGTGGGGTGTGAAGCTTGTCATGTGTAACAGTGGGGTGTGAAGCTTGTCATGTGTAACAGTGGGGTGTGAAGCTTGTCATGTGTAACAGTGGGGTGTGAAGCTTGTCATGTGTAACAGTGGGGTGTGAAGCTTGTCATGTGTAACAGTGGGGTGTGAAGCTTGTCATGTGTAACAGTGGGGTGTGAAGCTTGTCATGTGTAACAGTGGGGTGTGAAGCTTGTCATGTGTAACAGTGGGGTGTGAAGCTTGTCATGTGTAACAGTGGGGTGTGAAGCTTGTCATGTGTAACAGTGGGGTGTGAAGCTTGTCATGTGTAACAGTGGGGTGTGAAGCTTGTCATGTGTAACAGTGGGGTGTGAAGCTTGTCATGTGTAACAGTGGGGTGTGAAGCTTGTCATGTGTAACAGTGGGGTGTGAAGCTTGTCATGTGTAACAGTGGGGTGTGAAGCTTGTCATGTGTAACAGTGGGGTGTGAAGCTTGTCATGTGTAACAGTGGGGTGTGAAGCTTGTCATGTGTAACAGTGGGGTGTGAAGCTTGTCATGTGTAACAGTGGGGTGTGAAGCTTGTCATGTGTAACAGTGGGGTGTGAAGCTTGTCATGTGTAACAGTGGGGTGTGAAGCTTGTCATGTGTAACAGTGGGGTGTGAAGCTTGTCATGTGTAACAGTGGGGTGTGAAGCTTGTCATGTGTAACAGTGGGGTGTGAAGCTTGTCATGTGTAACAGTGGGGTGTGAAGCTTGTCATGTGTAACAGTGGGGTGTGAAGCTTGTCATGTGTAACAGTGGGGTGTGAAGCTTGTCATGTGTAACAGTGGGGTGTGAAGCTTGTCATGTGTAACAGTGGGGTGTGAAGCTTGTCATGTGTAACAGTGGGGTGTGAAGCTTGTCATGTGTAACAGTGGGGTGTGAAGCTTGTCATGTGTAACAGTGGGGTGTGAAGCTTGTCATGTGTAACAGTGGGGTGTGAAGCTTGTCATGTGTAACAGTGGGGTGTGAAGCTTGTCATGTGTAACAGTGGGGTGTGAAGCTTGTCATGTGTAACAGTGGGGTGTGAAGCTTGTCATGTGTAACAGTGGGGTGTGAAGCTTGTCATGTGTAACAGTGGGGTGTGAAGGTTGTCATGTGTAACAGTGGGGTGTGAAGGTTGTCATGTGTAACAGTGGGGTGTGAAGCTTGTCATGTGTAATAGTGGGGTGTGAAGCTTGTCATGTGTAACAGTGGGGTGTGAAGCATCGGACCAAAATAAGAGTTTACACGACAAGCCAACGCCCGAAACCAAGGTGACACCTAAAACAGATAAAAATGCCTCAAAAAAACACGTAAAAAAAGTAAAACTGTCCTTCGGTGAACTTTACCACCACGTCCAAACCATTAACAACATTTAAGAAGAGGTAAAAAAATAATATAAGAGGAGTTGATACTAGTTTTACTCCTTATATTACTCGTTAATGATTGTGGGGTCATCCATGATGATTTCCCGTAGCCTGCAGAATTACACCAAACAATTTGGCACTGGAATCACATAACTACATTTTCAATTTATCTAAACTTGAAATGGGAATTTTAACCTACGTTAAGAATGTTCTTGGGTTTATGACATTTGGTGATGTCGGGGCAAAAGCTTTTGGATAAAACAACAAGGGCCATCAGAAAGATGAGTTACAAAACATTTGATCTCGACGGCTAAAGTCTCCAAAAGATGGTAGAAACGCCATGTTAGAAAAGAGGTGTGACCTACCCAGAGGTACCCAAAGCGTAGGTGTGCATGACCACAACTATGTGGAATTTCTCCCATGTTAATAGTTGCTAAAATGGCAGTTGAAGATAATTCACTATCCTCAAAAACAACCTAGACATAGATATTGTGTCCAGTACATCGCGGGAAGGACTAGGGAAGGGTTTATACATGTATTGAAGTCTGAGATTCCTAGAAGGGTTTATACCTGTATTGAAGGAAGTCTGAGATTCCTGGAAGGGTTTATACATGTATTGAAGCCTGAGATTCCTGGAAGGGTTTATACATTTATTGAAGTCTGAGATTCCTGGAAGGGTTTACGCATGTATTGAAGTCTGAGATTCCTGGAAGGGTTTATACATGTATTGAAGCCTGAGATTCCTGGAAGGGTCTATACATGTATTGAAGCCTGAGATTCCTGGAAGGGTTTATACCTGTATTGAAGGAAGTCTGAGATTCCTGGAAGGGTTTATACATGTATTGAAGCCTGAGATTCCGTCAATAAAGATGCCATGTCTGCAGTGCTGTGTCCATCGTCGAAATCCAGGGGTTTCGCTAACAATGCACACATCTTCTTTGCAACCCTGAAAAATATCATTGCAAAAATCGAAGGCTAGCGGTAAGTTATTTGATTGGTTATAGGAATAAAAACTTGACTAATCGCTAGGCAGATGCATCTACTTTGAAGATTACAAACGAACTGTACCCCAATTCAAAGCCTGTAGATTTTACCTTTACGCTGCTGCATGATTACTTTGATCTTGATTTAAAACATAAGACTCATGGTCTACTTGAATCGTTAATAAGATGTTGTGTTAACATATTTCAGTGTTGTCACGGTACATTCCAGATACTGAAATATAGGAATTTAAGGTAAGAATTAATCGGAAAAGTCTTCTACCATTGACTGTACACTAGAATATAAGGTCAGTCTTTGAGAGATAAAAAATCCTACCAATGACTTAATTAGATTGTAAGGTCAGTCTTCAAGGGAAAAAATCTTCTACCTTTGAATGTACATAGGAATTTAAAGTCAATTCTTGAGAGAAAAGTCTCCAACTATTGACTGTACATTGGAGTGTAAGGTCAGTCTTTAAGAAAACACATCTCCTACCATTGACTAGATTGGAGTGTAACGTCAGTCTTTAATAAAGAAACATCTCCTACCATTGACTAGATTGGAGTGTAACGTCAGCCTTTAAGAAGAAAAAAACCTCTCCTACCAATGACTAGATTGGAGTGCAACGTCAGTCTTTAAGAGAAAAAACCTCTCCTACCATTGACTAGATTGGAGTGCAACGTCAGTCTTTAAGAGAAAAAACGTCTCCTACCAATGACTAGATTGGAGTGTAACGTCAGTCTTAAAAAAACTTCTCCTACCAATGACTAGATTGGAGTGCAACGTCAGTCTTTAAGAGAAAAAACGTCTCCTACCAATGACTAGATTGGAATGTAACGTCAGTCTTAAAGAAAAAAAAACCTCTCCTACCATTGACTAGATTGGAGTGCAACGTCAGTCTTTAAGAGAAAAAACGTCTCCTACCAATGACTAGATTGGAGTGTAACGTCAGCCTTAAAAAACAACGTCTCCTACCAATGACTAGATTGGATTGTAACGTCAGTCTTTAAGAAAAAGAAAACTCATACCAATGACTAGATTGGAGTGTAACGTCAGCCTTTAAGAAGAAAAAAAACTCTCTTACCAATGACTAGATTGGAGTGTAACGTCAGTCTTTAAGAAAAAAAACACTCTCCTACCAATGACTAGATTGGAATGTAACGTCAGTCTTAAAAAAACGTCTCATACCAATGACTAGATTTGAGTGTAACGTCAGTCTTTAATAAAGAAAACTCTCCTACCATTGACTAGATTGGAGTGTAACGTCAGCCTTTAAGAAGAAAAAACCTCTCCTACCAATGACTAGATTGGAGTGCAACGTCAGTCTTTAAGAGAAAAAACCGTCTCCTACCAATGACTAGATTGGAGTGTAACGTCAGTCTTAAAAAACGTCTCCTACCAATGACTAGATTGGAGTGCAACGTCAGTCTTTAAGAGAAAAAACGTCTCCTACCAATGACTAGATTGGATTGTAACGTCAGTCTTAAAGAAAAAAAACTCTCCTACCTTTGACTAGATTGGAGTGCAACGTCAGTCTTTAAGAGAAAAAACGTCTCCTACCAATGACTAGATTGGATTGTAACGTCAGTCTTAAAGAATAAAAACTCTCCTACCTTTGACTAGATTGGAGTGCAACGTCAGTCTTTAAGAGAAAAAACGTCTCCTACCAATGACTAGATTGGATTGTAACGTCAGTCTTTAATAATAAAAAAAACCTCTCCTACCAATGACTAGATTGGATTGTAACGTCAGTCTTTAAGAAAAAAAGAAGCTCATACCAATGATTAGATTGGAGTGTAACGTCAGCCTTTAAGAAGAAAAAAACCCTCTCCTACCATTGACTAGATTGGAGTGTAACGTCAGCCTTTAAGAGAAAAAAAACTCTCCTACCAATGACTAGATTGGAGTGCAACGTCAGTCTTTAAGAGTAAAAAAACGTCTCCTACCAATGACTAGATTGGAGTGTAACGTCAGTCTTAAAAAACGTCTCCTACCAATGACTAGATTGGAGTGCAACGTCAGTCTTTAAGAGAAAAAACGTCTCCTACCAATGACTAGATTGGAG